TTCAGGATGATCCTGAGGACGTTTTGTGCTGTCTGGGTATAGTTAAACCCAAATAACCTTTGTTAGATATATCTGTCCAAAAGATAATCGATGTTGTAATAAAAAAAGAATCGAACATCGATTAATCGATTGTAAATCGCCCAACCCTACATGTGCAAGTGCAAGAGCCGTTTTTCAATCGTGTCTGATCCTGATTGTGTCGCTGATTTCGATATTTTACATCGTGAATAGAAGCTGTTGTGTGTGTCTCGGATATCCGAAAATCCAAGAAGAATAAATATAAATGCGGCATTATGAATGAAGAAAAACCGGTAATGTATCGTTATAATGTACTATGTTTTAGTAATTTCTTAAGTATTATTAAAGTGCAATATATTACAATTATATACTCTGTGTCATTGTAATGTGCTTGCCGTGCTTTTATATTGTTATATTATAGAGGCAAATGAAAAAGAGTACAGCATTGTAGTGTGCTGCACTTTAATGATATTTAAGATATTATAAAAGAGTAGCACATTATTATGACATAGAATATATTATTGCAATATGTTACGCTTTAATAATACATAAGACATTATTAAAGCGTTGCACATTATTATATAGTGATCATTATATCGAATATTAACAATTTCATATAGTTTCTATACAATGTTGTCTAGTTTATATAGTAGAAGCAAACTCTTTGTTTGACTGTTTTTTTTCAAACTTGTAATCCTTATTCCTGAATTATTGTTACCTCTCTTTTGATAGTGTACACACAAAAAATACTTATACAAAGAAGTATTGCTGTAATATGATCATAAAAAATTCGTATAAAAAGAGGATTTTAATATTAAATTTTATATTAACAAAGTAAAATGGAAAACAGAAAATTGCATATGTTTTCATACAGTTGCGGAAACATCTCATGCAGAGAGTAAAGCAAGCAACAAAAAATCTTGCAAAAGTAGCATCGATTGAGAGATTGAGAAACAGAATTATTGCGTCCAATAATATCTTTCCAGACGAAGAGTATATGAATGTACATATCAGTGATGGGAACTCTATCTCAGATAAAAGTCCACTTAGAATTAATATATCAGATAATATATCAGAAATAAATGAAGCACAAGATATTAATATTTCTCAAGCAGCCATCTTGGAAAACGCTGAAAATGGAAGGGAACAAAGAATATATAATGAACAAGATGTAATTGAAGCGCTTGATTTGTCAGATGATAAAGATGATGAAATTATATTGCAAGATGAAACTGACCAAGAAAATGATGCTTCAGAAGATAGTGATGATTATGATGAAAATATAAATAAAAATCATTTTGACACTGAGGAGCAAAAGGCTATGTTGCAGAAAATTTGAGAGAATGGGCTATTTATGATGGATATATCTCAAAGAAAAAGCTCGATAATTTGTTATTTAGATTAAACCCAGTCTTTCCAACTTTGCCAAAAAGTTATAAGACATTGCTGCGTACACCCAAACATCTTGACGTCTGTATACTTCCTGATGGATCAATGTTGTGGTATAAAAGAATTGTAAGAAATTTAGATGCAATGTTGTTGGATGAATATTTGGACAAATATGGTAACATAACTATTGATGTTAACATAGATGGGTTGCCCGTAACAAAAAGTACACGTTTAAAATTTTGGCCAGTGTTGGGTCGTCTTGTACACACAGATAACGATCCATTTCTGATTGGTTTGTACGTTGGTGAATGGGATCCGATTGATGTGCACTCTTATCTGAATGATTTTGTCGCTGAAGTAGAATACCTTTTAAAACATAGATATATGCGCAACGGTGACAGATATCCATCCATTTTAAGAAATTTTTTCTTGGATGCTCCTGCACGCTCTCTTGTGAAGTGTTGTGTAGGTCATAATGGTTACGGTGCATGTGAAAAATGTACTGTTGTTGGACAATATATCATTGATCGTATGATCTTTTTGGATCTGGATGCCCCACTACGCACAGATGAATCTTTTAGAAATCAAGATGATCAATTGCATCACATTGGAGTGACTATTTTACTTAGAATTGCAAAGATGGTATCACAATTCAGACTTGATTCTTTTCATTTAGTATGACATGGTGGCTTTAAACGATTGCTTTCCACCTGGATGGAGTGGAATGGATCCTGGAAGCTTTCACGAAATGACAAAAACAGAGCCTCTAATTTACTTATATTTCTTGCTGCTTTCTGTCCAAGTGATTTTAATCGACTACCCAGACCACTGGACTATTGGAAAATGTATAAAGGCACAGAGGAGCGATGTTTATGTCTTTATGATGGACTTCTTGTGTTTAAACACGTTCTGAAAGAAGACGTATACAAACATTATCTGCTTTCTCAAGCTGCCATGTACATTTTATGTAGTCCTGTGCTAGTGAAATCGATGTGTGATTATGCACATGAATTGCTGTTAATATTTATCCGGCATTCTGCAGTTTTGTATGGCAATAAGTTTGTTGTATATAATATCCATTCTTTATGTCATTTGTCACAAGAATGCAAAGATCACGGTCCACTAGACAATTTTAGTGAATTTGTGTTCGAGAATTTTTTGAAATCCTTGAAAAGTTCTTTGAAATCATGTTACAAACCTTTGCATCAAGTTGCCTATTGTGATTTGGAGCGAACAAGAAAAATATTAGTCAAATTGTCAGAAGGTAAGAAAATTCTGTCTCTCTCGCAGATGTACATAAACACAGAGGAACGAATCAATGGTTCTCATTTTCGTTGTTTGTTTATTGGCAATGTAAAATGGAAAATTGGTCATAAAGATTCATGCTTTAGGACATCTGAAGGAAACATTTATGTTCTTGTTAACATTATCAGAAGAGGCAATTCGGTGCTTCTAATTGGTAACAAATTTCATCAAGTGGAAGATTATTACACTTATCCACTTCCTTCCTCAGCATTAGGTATATTAAAAGTTTCAAATTTGGACAATGTAAGACGTATCATTTCTGTGGAAAATGTAGAAGCCAAATGTTGGTTAATGCCTGATGACCTGCAGTTTTTTTTATGTATTCCGTTATTACATACTATGCCATTATTGTGATGTTCCAACTGTCTGTGTGATATTCTACTTTCTCACATATGTGCTGCTTGTACGTTGTTATCTGTGTATGCAATTTCATAAATAATATTAGTTTCTTTTTTACAATTTTAAGATTTATTTAATAGAGCAAATCAGTTTATTTTTATTCGGTCGAAGAATGGATTGCATTCAAGTCAGGAACATTTCTTTTACTATTTTTCTATATTTGTGTATTTATAAATCCTGTCAAAATTGCGTGATTGATAAAAATTCATAAAGTTGCTTATGTATTTATTAACTTTCTATACTGTTCTTTATTTTTTTATTATAAAATGCTTTTGTAATTTATTTATTTATTTTATATTTTACTGTTTTATGTTGCAGTTTATTGTTGTGAAATTTTTACCAACTCAGGAAGATGATGACCTTTATTATGAGGTTGCTCTGGCCAAATGGATAGTACAAATTGATAAAAATATGAGTGAAAAAATTTTTTGGCCAAAGAATGATGCAATAGCGGGCAAGTTAGTGCGTTCCGAGACAAGAGCAAATGAAACTTGGCCACAATTAGAAGTAGAAGTTAAAAAATATTATGGTATGTTTTATATTATGGTATGATATGTGAAAAAAGTAAAGTTAAGACTTAAAAGCTCTCAGCGTGCTTGAATCGCACTAAAACACATGAATTTCTGAATATATCAGTTGTAACTGTTAATTTATAGAACATTATATTTTTAATTGATTTCTTATAGAGGAAATTCGGGCACGCCAAGTGCCGGGTTTTAAATCGCAATTTTACTTTTTCTTCAAAATATTTTATTCAGATATTTGAGCTTATGATTATTATTGAAATCAATAGATATAACAAGAAGAGTAACCTGACATATTTATCAAATGATTTTAAGAGATATTACTTATATCCATTGAAATAAATATACAGAAATATTACGTTTAGAAAAGCAAAATAATTTTTTTCTTTATTGAATACGACATCTTGAATAATATCGAAGCACAATGAACTAATTAAATATTTATAATTGTTTATTTGCATTTATTTGGTGTAACTTTCTGACATCACTATATTTTTTTAGAAAATAAAAGAAGTAATTTTTTATTTCTTACTTTATTCCATAAGATTTTAATATGTTCTAAATTTGTTCTATGAGTGAGTGAGTGAAACTTATGCACTCCTAACAACTTTATCTTATATTTATCGCAGAAACGTATATTGCTGCCAGAAATGTCGCAATGGGCTTTGAAGAGTTTGCATCTGCCTATGAAAGTGATTCAGGCTGTCAAATGGGCAGAGGCATGAGAAGAAAGCGATTTATGAATCTAGTCTCATCTGACGATGATTCATCTAGCTCTGATACTAAAAAGTGCAAGCAGGATAAGTCAAGGTCAAAAATACCAACTGCTCCTCTTCCACCACCTCCTCCTGCTGGTCTATCTTTTTTAAGGAAGTCTTTAAATATTGCCTCAAAGGAGAATATTACTCCGCTGACAATTGTTTCTAACAAGAAACAAAGCAAAACAGCTATCCCACCTTCAGCAGCACCAATTACAGCCGGTACTAGGCAGAACAAGTTACTGCACAAAATTATTAATCTCAGGCAGCAGGCAGCTGATAAGGCACAGCAACGAAAAAAAGCAATGTCTTTGGAAAATATACGTAAGTTGCCCAGATAGCCAAGAATGTTAAAATCACGTTTTGCCAAAGCTTTGCGACAAGGTGTGCTTTAATTTTGACAACAATTTTGTAGCAAACATTTGTCTTGTTTTGGTTTGTCAAAAAGTTTGAAGCAAATCGACGGCAAAATTTTTCGTCTCACGATGCTGTAAATAATAGGAAAAAGCTTACCCGTAAATTTTACGCATAGAAGAACACGTATGATGCTAATTCACGGTGTAACACAAACTTTACGCCAATTAGTAGCAAATCTTGTTATACACGCTATAATAGCAAATTTACGACAAGAACAGAGTAAACCTTATTATACACGATATGATAACACACCCTGCCGCAAATGGTCGATTAAAACCGATTAAAACATAATCCGTTTTAATCGGTTTTAATCGGTTCAATCCGCGCCCGGATTAAAAAGTAATCGATTTTAATTCCGAACGAACTATAATCGGTTTTAATATCGCTTTCGCGGATTATTTCCAATCTAAAATCATTACATTCTAATCCATATTGTTCAATCCAAATAAACACGAATAATCAAATGGATATTGTGGCTGCCGCAGGTCACATTAAGCACAATCCGCGATACAATAGTGCACCCGCAACTTGGCGGCCCACGCGCTCGCGCGTCCGCGCGTAGTTCCGGGCGACGCCACTACGCGGCGTAGGTCGAGCGAGCCAACCTGGAAGTAGAAAGCGGTCAAACGGGGATATAAGGCGGACCCTCTGCGGAGAAATCGTATATTTGTTTTTAACAACTGAGTTTCAATTGCAGAAACACCGATTCAATAATTGATTGTGACTCATGATAAAAGCAAATCCGACTTCACACCAATGATGCAAACTCTGCGGTTTCTGCCCGCTACTAGCGCATGTGGAGGGGATAGCGCACACAAGGAACGAGTCCTGTACGTGTGCGCTCGGCGCTCGAGCAGAAAAGGGTAGTAGAAGAGAACAGATATACAATGCGCTGTTTCTTTCTTTCTCGAGCGCGAGCTATAGCTATAGCTATAGCTGCGATATCGAGAATACACGTAGCGGCTTGCGTATTATATGCGTACTCGTCTATTCAATCCTCGTATAAAAATGTATAAAAATTACAAATAAAATAAATCTAACAATTATTTTTAATCTTATAATTATTTTACACATCAAAAATGTTAATTAAATAAAAAGAGCGTAAATGATAGGAATCCCACTCTTGGCCAACATGTACGTCTTTTCTTTACGAAATCAATTGTTATTAATTTAAAAAGATGATTTGATGTTAAAAAATTAAATAAAAAATTAAATTAGATTTAGAATCGTATTTTTTCATTTATGAATTTAATCAATATAAATGTAATGTTTTTTTTCCTATTTTGTACGACTGTAAAATGCTAAAAAAAGGAATAAATAAAAATATTCGTATTTTTTTAATTATATATCACTATTACTATTTATCAATAAATAAGTTTTTAAGTTGATTAACTTGTCTCTTTTATAGAAGTGCAAGATTAACTATCACGTGGAATGCGTTGACATTCTATGTGCCATAGCCATAAGTCCGAATCTACAATACGTCTGCAATGAATGTAATAAGCCTTTAGCCTTTAGCTGTAGATTCAAAATTGTGATATTATTTGCAGCTTTTCAACATTTTCTGTGAAGTACTAAATCGTAACCTGTCCAAATTACAGCTCTTGCCGCAGTGCGAAAAATTCTAAAATATTTAGAGCACAGAGCTAAAGGTTAAAAGCTTATTATGTCTATATTGAAGATTCGGATTAACTTATTGTATGTAAGAATCCGTTTTGGTTTAAGTTCGTCTCAGACTACGCGAAGATTGAAGATTAAAAATTGGAATTTGATTAATTAGGATAAAAAAAGCTAAAATTTTTTTTGTCCTAATTGGTCAAATTTCAATTTTTAATCTCAATCTTTAATGATTTGATACAGGCTTCACACAAGAGGTTTTATAGACATTTATAAGACGTCTAGTAGACATGTCTAAAAGAGGCCACAATGACGTTTATCTAGATGCGAAAATCGATCTATCTTAGACATATCGAATAGACGTCTATTCTACATCTATTCGACTTTACGTTTCTCCCTGGGCTATTTCCACATTTAAATACTTAAAATAACTGCTATATTTCTCAAACTTTTTTTGTTAATAACTTTTTAACGAACAACGAGCGACGGCTAAAACCTCTTGGATGTTACTCAGGACAATGACCTTGACAACATATGTCAAGGTCAAAGTCATTGGAGGTGGGTACGTTAATCTAAATATTTACCAGTATTTCTTCTACGGAGTTTCTGTAGTAACATGCAATCTTTACGGCGTAAATTATTTATCTCGGTAGGAATAGGTGTATTTTTTATACATTGTAACTTTGAACAGTCTAAATTATCACAGTCATTTACTTGGTTTTTTTTCAATTTGCATTGGTTCATGTATTGATGAAGATGTTATGTATGTATGGCTCTCCTGTTACAGTCGTATGTTCTACATCACATGCTTCCCGAATGATATTACTATTTACATTATATATATTTGGCTTCTCTATTATATCTATTATTGTATGTACATTTTCATGATCTTCTGATTTGATATCAATATGTGAACCATTTATATTTCGATTTATTGTACTCTCTATCTCAACATGAATATTTGTAAAATTTTCTTCATAAAATATGTTATTTTTTTCTATATTATCTACCTCATTTTCCTTATTTTCATTATCTATTTTTCTGATTTTGCATTGATTTATTCTGTTAATTTTTATGGACGAAGGAAATATAGAAGGTATTGCTGTTGGTTTTAAATATGTCTTCTGAGTTTCTGGACCATGAAAATAATCATTTGCAGTAAAATGTTTATTACAAATTGTAACATATTTACTGGAAGCCCAATTTTGTTTATTGCATTCAACCAAGCTGTCAATTGATTTTTATCTTTGAAGGGAAAGCTGCAATATTTCATATGAAAGTTTTGATTTAAATATTTAATGCATATTTAAACACATAAAAATAGTTAGTTTCTAGAAAATAAGAGAAACAGATTATATGTACTTACTGAAAAAAATTGATATTTCTTCCTTTAGAATATTTACTTGAACAGCCAAGTATGATGCAAGGCATTGGCATTTTTATTCTTATATATGCACTATATATACACTTAATATTTTTAATTTATTTTTACTTTTAAAATGTTTTAAATGTATACGTTTAAAAAATAAATAAATGACGTTTGAATGACATAAATCGATCGAATATCGAATTCATATCGATATTCTACCAAATTGTAAATGGCTGCCCATGCTTCACATATGTTCTTATATGAAATATAGCCGTGTTAGCAATTTAGTATTATATAGAAGTCTGTGGTATTTCGTTTGTAAATCGTTTGTAATTGATTGTGAGTCTGTTTTTAACGTTTGTGACAAATTATGTTGTTTGTAATTAACAATTTTAGTTTAGTCATGATGTCAGCCGGCCGATACTTTTTAGTAATAAACAGATTTTGTGATAACTGATAACTGTAATTGACAGGAAATCGTTTGTGATTTACAAATATACCAATATTATGTTTGTGAATTAATAAATTTTTTAATTACGTGCAAAATAAGTTTATTTTATAATTGTAGTGCGCATGCGCAAAATATACTCAGATTTTGAGACGCGTGACGATTTCCGTCACGCAAGGTGATATTATATTTGTCATACGACAAACTTTTTAAGCGCATTAATTAGCTAATTTCTAGAGATTCAAGAAATTTTCTATTTTGCAGCCAATCATGTGATTGTAATATGTCATTAAGTTTTTATTTTATGTGATTTAATACAAATTTTATGTGATTTAATACAAATTTTCTTTTATTTATTGTAACGTTTAAAAAAAATATATATAAATGTATTTTATCTTTTTAATATAAATTAAAAATCCGAGTGTAATCTCCCTTTTTATCACGTTCGTTTCACGTCTATATGAAGTCCATATGAAGTCGTTTCGTATATCTGTTATTGTAAATTTATGTCCATTCGACGTCCATCGGATATCTTCTGGACATGTCAGGGATCCACCAATTTCATATTTAGATATTCCATGGCCATCCATTATATATTTTAGGAACATAAAACGGACATTTTATGGCGATATTTCAATATCCTTGAAGGATATTTGTAGGATATTTTTCGGATATCTGTGTGCTGTCTGGGTATGTAGACACGTAAAACATATCTCAAATAACTTTATCGCGTCTCTATTGGAATCACGAAAGAATGGAAATATTGTTTAATAAGTACACAAATGAATTGTGATCCTATAATCTAAACTTAAAAGTAAGAAAGGAAATGTACTTACATTTTTTCGTGTAATCACATCAATGATCGCTCTTCGAAAATATCTTCCCGCAACTGCGAAATCCCCAGCGTTTCGAAATATCGCACATGTAACGGATGTTATTAAACCCGATTAAGGGTGCCGTGTAACAGAACTCTGTGGCTCATCTTTGTGTGCGTATCCCTTCCGTCTATCTTTCGGTGCGGCCGCGTCTTCCGTGCATAGACAACAGAATGTGGCATCACTGGTCGCATTCTTTGTCAAGTTTTTTAGCGCCAAATACGAACTTGACAACGCAGCGCGCGTGCACTAATGCATGCACTAGCGTGTTACTAGTTCATTATCTAATAACTTATTATTCAAATTATGCTGATTTGTTATTTCCAATTTGTCAGTGTTTTGCTTAACTTTATCCACTGATTGTAGAGAAAAAAATCATCAGTAAATTTTTTTTTGCAAACGGGCGAACAGTAGGTGAGAGAAACAAAGCCCGCATAAAGCAATGAAAAAGAAACGATAAAATAATGATGTATATAAATTATGTTAATTTATTTATTTATATTATAATACGTATCTACTTAACTTGTCTTCTGCGACATCCCGTCAAAATAACTGAGGTACCTATCACATATACGTAACTGTAAATGGCACGAAAAACTTCATCCATCTAACAACACTGTCCGAGAATCAAAAAGCAAAAGAAGAAAAATCGCATTAAACTTTGACGTCCGAGACCAGACGTCCAATGAATGTCCAAATATTGGCCACTAATGGATGTCACAAATCAGATATACGATGGACGTTCATTTCATGTCCATGGACGTGCGGATGTAAAATAGACATAAAATAAATGTCCATAAGACGTCCTGTGTGCTATCTGAGTATACTGACGAGGAAATTCAAGCCATAGTAAACCGCGAGGGCGAGCAAATCTTAACGTTAATCAATAGACTTATTACTGATTTTCTAGACGGCAATTTGAATATAGATCAACTAATTGCCCTGCTTGAAAACCCTGAAGACCCTTAAAATTGAATATATTTAATTGCGCATGCTCATATCCCTAGGACTAACATCCAATAAAATCACTCTAGTAAAAGGTTAGTTCCGTGCCTAACGTCATTCCCCTAGAATCCACCAGATCAGTCCTAGCTCTCGGTGTCCCTGAGGTATAGCCGGTGGAAGCAGGTTGCCCTAGATAGAAATAGAGAGCTATCCTTTTCTCACCAACTGAGGTATAGTAAGAAAAGAGCATCGTCGAGACGTAACAACGGTTAAAATTAGCAGGGTGGCCAACAGAAAATAGAGGTGAAGGAAAACCAAGCATTCATATCATTTCAGTTGGACCCCTGCTAATTTTACCCGTCGGTTCATCTAAGCCATGAAGTAAGAGAGAAGGAGATCAAACTCCGTAAAACAAAAGTGGTCCTGATTCGTGGCACCTAATAGGGAGGAAATCCGCTGAAAGGAATAGTTTCTTATGGATAGATGCCATTTGCAATTATCAACCTTACCCGACCAGCCCGACTTTACCTAAGTTTTGTGCAGACGTGTTTCATCGCGTTTTTACGTGTGAAATATATTTTTTGGAAAGTATTCTCTTAAAGACAAGACAAAAAAATGGCATGTTGGATACGTGGATGCACCAACAAAGGAGGAAAAATAAAAGATGCTTCAAGAAAGAAAAGCCTTTTTACAGCTCGCACAGAAAAAATGTTAAATAATTGGCGTGACAGTACAAAGAGAAAAAAAACCAAAAATAACATATATTATAAACTTGTAACTTTATTTCTTTTTTTCCATTTGTACAATTGTCTTCTTTTATTTGTATAATTGTATAATTTATATAATTGTATAATTTATATAGTTATATAATCCCAATATAAATTAGGTATAACAACCGTTACATTACATGTTATTCCCATGTTATATAGCAGTTATATTCTGTGTTTGCTGGGTTGTTACTTTTATATATTTTGAAAAGGGCATAATCTTGTCATCAATATAAATATTAAATTTGGGAATACAGCAACTCTTTTTCTGACACTGAAATCACTTTCTGCCTTCATAAAACCAAAAAATGTATCGTTTCCTCTTGAAAATCCCCAATTCGAAGAAGGCCGTTCGACTAAATTCAAATTTCTTTGCAAATATTTGAATTTTAATTCATCTGTCTCATGCTCTATATTCTTTGAGTTTTCTTCCATTATACTGAAAAAATACTATGCATTATTCACTTTTACTTAATCAAAAGTTTACTTTTTTACTTCTGTTACTTTCCTTTCTGTTTTATTGCTTTCGACGAGGATATTTTCCATTTCCCGCTGTCGGAATACGTTATAACAATGCACACAATAAAAGAAACTCTTTTTTAATGCTCTCAGTTTATTTGGCTTTATAATCGCAAATCGGAGCAACAAACATGTGCAGCGATGCAACATGTACAGCTGACCACGACACTGCTTTAGGTTAGCTTTAAATATGGCGTCCATCCATGAGAAACTATTCCCTTCAGCGGACTCCCTCTCAATTAGGGGTCACGAATCAGGGCCATTTTTTCCACTCGCGCGCTATCAAGTTCGATCTCCTTCTCTCTTACTTCATGATCTAAGCGGACTTGGTGAAATTGGCCCTTAATCCTTAATCTTCCTTTATATAATCTTGGGGTTGATTGGGTGCTTTCTATTTAGTGACTCAAGTCGACACAAGTATCATTCTATCTTCTTTCAATACCAATGAACAACAAAGATAGAATGATGCTTGCGTCGACTTGAGTCACTAAATGGAAAGCACCCATTATAGGTTTGTTCGCGTTGCTTGAAATTCCCAAAAAGTTCTGCACTGAAAACGAGATAAATACATATTTGGATGTTGAATCGAGTGAAAGCGAAGGTACTGAATGCAAAAAGTTCAACCAACGCGAACAAACCTTTTGTATCTTAAAACGATGTGAAAATTACAGAAGTGAGCAAATTCACTAAAATATCGACGATTTCATTTGTCGAAATCAAGTAAATCTGTTAACTTTTGTAATTTTTACTTCGTTTTAAAGATATACAATCGACTTCTAGAAGATAGATAAAGCTCTCTCTATATGTAATATATCTATGATTCCAATATTCACTATAAAACTGACTATGGGCGCGTTCAGGAAACACAACTGTTGAGCATCGTCTTGTCAACCCTCGACGTTGATTTGTTGGTTCTAGAAGTAAGAACCAATCACGTTTGATTGCTACTCAACGGTTGTTTCCTGAACGCACCCTATGAATACCGGCCTAAATATCGGAACGCAGCATCTAGAAGTAAGAACCAATCACGTTTGATTGCTACTCAACGGTTGTGTCTCTTGAACGCACCCTATGAATACCGGCCTAAATATCGGAACGCAGCCTGTATATGGTTCAATGCCTTGTGTCCACGATGGAACTCCGTCCGAGAAACGTGTGATCAATAAAATTGCCGCTTTTCTATAAAAGTTGCAAATTGATTGGCTACACATTTCTCGGTCCGAGAAGTCGGACCGAGTTCTAGCATCGTGGACACAAGGCTTAAGAAACAGAATACTTGTAACCTCACTATGATGATGAAGAGAGAAATGTTTCTTCCTATCAGTAAGATTACTTCTTAATCAGATACAATCACAATAATATTTACTCTAAATTTATACAATATACACACACATAAAATAGAGTTATAAAAAATTTATGTTAAGAGATTTTTTGGATATCTTTATTATAACTTTGTTATAGGACTAAGAGTGTGTAATGTTAAATGTTGATGAAAAGAAATAATTATAGTAGAAGTGTTATTTTTAATAATTTTACATTATATAAATAATTTTAATACTTTTATATTAAAATAAATTTATTACAGAATTACCTTCACATAAATCATTTCAAGGAAAAAATTTGACAGGAACTGAACGTTTTATATACAATTTAGCCGCAGATATTTATGCAAATATACAACAATGGAATAGTTTCCATATTAAAGGAGTTACTTATTTAAGAAACATTATACAAGTAAAACATGACAAAAATTATTCTGTGATTTTGCAAGATATGTGCGACAAGCTAGAAAATGTTTGCAATAATCTAGTAAGGATATACTTTCTTTAATTTTTTAATTATATATTATCTATTCTCTTTTAAAGTTTTAAGTCAATTAACTTTATTTTTGTTTTAATTTTTTAAAGTTATGTTTCTAAAACTATAAATAGAAATTTTTCAATATGAATGAAAAGATCTGTTTACAGGATGGCATAATTACAAACTTGGAGCAAATTAAAAATCAGTTTATAGCCATAACAGTCTTACAGGAAACTACAACTAAGTTGTTTTTAACATGGCCAATGAGCAAGTTTGGTAATGAATTTATAACTTATATTATATACTTTATAATATAAGAGTTTCTGGATTGGCGCTGCATGCAGCTCAAACTGCTTGTAGTATCTTTTACTAGACAAAGCAGCATACATCTATGATGTATCAGTGTATTAATTGGCAAGATGGTGCACGCACAGGTTTCCTTGTCATGTGCATTTTTGTAAATGGATCACATATATCATCTATGGTTTTGAAATGATTATGAATATAAAGGCAGATTTTCACAAAGAATGTGCATCAAGGTTTTCCCAAATGTTCGTTAAACATTTTATGGATTTCTGTACCCCTCTTACCGAATTTGAAGCAAGAATTGATGCAGTTTCAGTTGTACAGCATCCAGGAACTTTGCAATATCTCATATTTATATTTAATATATACAGTAACTGATATATTTTAATTATAATTTAATCATTTAATGAAATTGTTATAATTTAACTATATATGCTTCAAATTCTTTAGGTGAGATAGCAGAAACTATATATCAGATGTATCATAAGGAAGCTACACTGAAACGCAATTTACTGGAAAATATTGCTCACAATCATACAGAAACTTGGAAAATGTTTTATCTTGCAGCATGGGTACATCAACCTTTATTATCTGAAAACTTAACGTTATTATTGAATTCATTGTTTATTGAAACTGGTCACCAATGATAACAGTTTCTAATGTAGCATTTAATTTTCCTTTATCTTAATGTGTCATTATTTAAGGAATTAAAATAATAAATTAGACAATCATGATTAAATAATAAAAAAATTGCATTGTATATACAGCATATCCCAAAGTTTGCGATTCTAAATACTATAACAGAAAAGTTGTCGAAGAATTAAATAATATTAATTGAGCAAATATTAAATTGAATATTTAATTGATATTAATTTTTAATTGATATTAGTCTCCTAATTTTTATATTAAATGTTTTTGAATATACATACACCTAAACAGCACAAAAAGATGCAAAAACATTTCGTAGATATGTATTTATAATAATATAATATATACTAGATATTTTTTACTATTTTACTAATATATAATAGATATTTTTAACATATATACGTTTTCTAAAGTGCAGTTACAAATATTACTTTATATATACAGGGTGTCTGACAAGTAAGTAATCAAACGAAAGGTGGAGATAGATTGGGTTAAACTGAAAAGAAAAATCCTGTACCATTTTGCGATTTTCGTAATAATTATTGAGAAATTAATTTAAAAAGATAGGCCAATTCGAGCGAGTATTACCACGCGGTGAGAAAAAACGGCCTGATATGGACGGCATTGATATGTGGTTGCTAGGACGCGAGAATCCATCATTATGTACCGCTCATACGTAACTGTTGTCATTTATAGAGCGTTCTTCCCAAAACTTTGTCGCGCGCCTACTTTTAGGTTGTCTCTTCTCACTGCGCGCTTATACTCGCGCGAATTGGTCGATCTTTTTTAATTAATTTTTCAATAATTAATACGAAAATCACAAAATGATACAGGACTTTTCTTTTCAGTTTGACCTAATCTACCTCCACTAATCTCCACTTTTCGTTTGGTCACTTAATTGTCGGACACCCTGTATATATACAGGGTGAGGCATCTAAGACAGGCTATCCGAATAACTCCCACAGTTTTGGAGATGGGAGAAAATGTTTGAAATAAAAGTTGTATGGCATCGAGGGGGAAATCTTGTGGAAGTGAAGATTTTTTTTTAGGTGGAGGCGCTTAGGAGATTTGAAGGTCACTTTCATTCTTTTAAATGGAACCCCATATTTCTCATTACATATTCTTGTAGCTTATCTCGAGAGCTTTCCAAAATACTATAATAAAGTATTTTTTCATTAAGTACTTTTTGAGTTATTTTATATTTTAATCTGACATATTTTGATATAAAAAATAAAATATCTCGTAAAATATTTAGTTTTCGATAATCTTACCGTAATACTTTTATGTACAGAATAATGAGACAAATCAATTAGTAAAAAAATAAAATAATTGTTTTTAAGAAAAAGTATG